ACTGCCTTGAGTCACAGTCCTGGAACTTCTCATTTGACTGCATTCATTTTGGGTGGCTGGTGACAGTCACTTGAGCTTTGTCTCAGACTACCCAAGGCATCTAAGGATATATAAGACCAGAAATTGGAAAAGAGCAATCCTTATATTAACACAGGCTTCTGAAGCATTTCTCCCCATGCAAAGATTGATGATTCATTGCCTATTTTTTAAATTTATCATTATTTATTGTCTTCCCTTCAAACTTCAGAGTAAGACGTTTCCAGAATGTGATGCATTGGCCTTCTTCAATAAACATTGTCTCCTTCAATAAATGGAGACACAAGATTATTTTTCCTTACTCTCAGTGCTGTGACAGACATTCAAGGTATACCAGCAGGTACAGGTGAGGGAAACTTCCAATACACAGAGAAGATAACATCTGTCATGACATGAGTCATATTTCTCACCCTCCTGTCTTGGAAGGGAGTAGAGTATAAATCTTACCTGATTCACACACTTCTAGCACTTCTAGTGACTCTTTCCCTTTTTGCTCTTTTTCCTTGCCAGTAGAATATTTTATGTATTCTGATATACTTCAGGGCCTCCTCCCAAGCCCTAGGGGTAAATCTTGACTCTTTTCAGCAAGTCATGGTAGCATCAAGGTGCATACTAGTGATTGATGAGGGCATTTCTCTGTGATATAACTGTAGACTCCATGTAACAGGGCATTAAGGAAGGACATCTACAGGTTTCAGCTAAGTTGGGACGGGTATCAGGGAAGCTCTAGCTACATCTTCTTCATTCTCAAAGTCTTAACAAGGATCATGAGACAAGGGCTTCCTCATACCACATGTGGATCTTGTTTCCTAGGGAAGTGATGCTTAGGGTACATAGCCATCTTGAAGCCAAAAGGGAATCAAAAAAAAAAAAAACACTGGGTCACCAGTGACATCATTAAATTTCTGATTTAATCAACCCTCAACCACTCTGTCTCTAGACATCACGCTGTGTGATGTAATAAATTTCTTAGTCTTCAAGCCATTGAATAATTGTGTGACATTACTTTCAACCACAAGAACCCTGGCTGTTTCAAGGCTGGCTGCAATGGCTCATGCCTGTAATTCTAGTACTCCAGGAGGATGAGGCAGGTGAGGAGCTTGGACTCAGAAGTTCGAGACCAGCTGGAGCAAGAGTGAGACCCCACATCTCTACTAAAAATAGAAAAACTAACCAGGCATTGTGATGGGCTCCCGTAGTCCCAGGTACTTGGGAGGCTGAGGCAAGAGAGTCGCTTGAGCCCAAAAGTTTGAGGTTGCTGTGAGTTAAGACACCGTGACACTCTACCTAGGGTACCAGAGTGAGACCGTTTCAAAGAAAAAAAAAAAGAACCCTGGATGTTTTAATTTATCTACATTTTACAAATGAGGTAACCAAGGCTCAGTAGAGTTAAGTATGTAGTTTACTTAAAGACCGATATAGTCTGGGCCTTTTTTTCTAAATTCATCTTCTTTCTATTCTACCACCCAACTCTTCTACATCTGTGTGTGCTTTGAAACAAAGATAAGTGATAAAAGGTGCCATATTCTAAGGAGTGAGAGAGATGGAGAAGATGGGAGTGATACTCAAAGCCTGGGCTCACCATGGATAACTGGCAAGGGTACGAGGCCTTGGGTCATTTTTAGAACTTTTCTACAGCCAAGTCCATATACGTGAGGAGAGGAGTGGAATAATTATTAGATACATTCGGTCAGATAATCTAATTCGTCAGATTACTGGGATGACTAACTCTCTCATGTTTTCTTTTTTAAAGCTGAGTAAGGATGTTAGTTATTCTGAGATATACTGCTTTGGCTTGTCTGTATGTGGAGACATTATCTCTGAACAGTTTGGAGTATAGGAAAGTTTATGAAGAGCAGCAAAAGTATAGATTAAATTGATTGCATGCTTTTCTGTCCTGGGAGGATTTTTTTCCTGAAATATAAAGATGAATTCCTCAAGGGAAAACAATAATTTAAACAATAATCACTACTGGGTGTACTGCCAAGACCAAAATCCTAGAAAATGACCATCATAATGAAAAATCAACTCATTCTGTGCATGTATTTCTTTCAATGTTCCAATTTATTTTTCCTTCTGGGCATCTCAATAGTCAACAAAGGGCCAATAATGAGCAGAGAAATAGACATACTAATAATGAATTGCTAAATTAATTGGTTTTCATACTGTATATTTAATTTTTACAGTCCCTTTGAATGCTCAGAAGAAAACACTCCAAATATTGAAATTTTCCCTATTTGGATTAAGACTGGCAGTTCTCAGGAATGCTAATTCGAAAAATGTTCCAAGGAATTAAGTAGGGGGGTAAGCAGAGGAAATGAAGGGTTGGTCATCACCTTAATAACCATGAATCTATAATCTGTTTTCCCTGTTTCCAAAACACAACACAATAGATGCTAATTTTTTTTGCACCCAGCATTCCTTGAACTCATTTAATAGCAAATCTTTCCTTTTTTTTTTTTTCTACCAAACACTCCTTATATGAAATAATGTTTGTACTTGATCTGAAAATAGCATAAAATCTAACTTACATTTCAGGTATTAATTTTAAATTCTAATTGTGTTCTATCAGATTAGGCGTTAGTTATATTTCTACTTGATAACATTTTATTTTACTATTATTTTTTATATTGAATGGTAACTGTGTACATTAATGCACTTCTGGGGTACAGTGTGGTGTTTTCACACACAATCCGAGACACTTCCATCAAACTGGTTAACCTAGCCTTCATGTAACTTTCTTAGTTATTGTGTTAAAACGTTCATATTCTGTTCATAGAAAAATTCACTTGTACCCTTGTAAGATGAACCACAGAAGTGAACCCTCGAATCCCTCTCCCTCCACCCACTCCCCCCTCCCCGTATCCTTAGGTTGTTATTAGGTTATAGCTTTCATATAAAAAGGTTTAAATTAATTTCATAATAGGGGTGTGTACATTGGATACTTTTTCTT